ATGCAGCTCGTCTGAGATCCTCGGGCAGGTCGCTCAGCCGAGGAGCTCGAGATGATCGATCTCTTTTAGTCTTCAGGTGTGAGGTGTGAAGAGTGAAGAGGATCCTGCCTGAGGATCTCAGCTTACACACCGGATGGTAAGAGGACAACAAACGACTTCCAAACTGAACCTGCTCACATGAAGACTTTACAGACGGTTTAAAACACAATGAAGTTTGTTAAACTCTGAAGTTTGTTAAACTCTGAAGTTTGTTAAACTCTGAAGTTTGTTAAACAGTTTGTTAAACTGAAGTTTGTTAAACACTGAAGTTTGTTAAACTCTGAAGTTTGTTAAACAGTTTGTTAAACACTGAAGTTTGTTAAACAGTTTGTTAAACAGTTTGTTAAACTCTGAAGTTTGTTAAACTCTGAAGTTTGTTAAACAGTTTGTTAAACAGTTTGTTAAACTCTGAAGTTTGTTAAACTGAAGTTTGTTAAACTCTGAAGTTTGTTAAACACTGAAGTTTGTTAAACAGTTTGTTAAACTCTGAAGTTTGTTAAACAGTTTGTTAAACTCTGAAGTTTGTTAAACTCTGAAGTTTGTTAAACACTGAAGTTTGTTAAACAGTTTGTTAAACAGTTTGTTAAACAGTTTGTTAAACTCTGAAGTTTGTTAAACTCTGAAGTTTGTTAAACTCTGAAGTTTGTTAAACTCTGAAGTTTGTTAAACACTGAAGTTTGTTAAACTCTGAAGTTTGTTAAACACTGAAGTTTGTTAAACTCTGAAGTTTGTTAAACTGAAGTTTGTTAAACTCTGAAGTTTGTTAAACAGTTTGTTAAACTCTGAAGTTTGTTAAACAGTTTGTTAAACTCTGAAGTTTGTTAAACAGTTTGTTAAACTCTGAAGTTTGTTAAACTCTGAAGTTTGTTAAACACTGAAGTTTGTTAAACAGTTTGTTAAACAGTTTGTTAAACAGTTTGTTAAACTCTGAAGTTTGTTAAACTCTGAAGTTTGTTAAACTCTGAAGTTTGTTAAACACTGAAGTTTGTTAAACACTGAAGTTTGTTAAACTCTGAAGTTTGTTAAACTCTGAAGTTTGTTAAACTCTGAAGTTTGTTAAACTGAAGTTTGTTAAACTCTGAAGTTTGTTAAACACTGAAGTTTGTTAAACTCTGAAGTTTGTTAAACACTGAAGTTTGTTAAACTCTGAAGTTTGTTAAACTGAAGTTTGTTAAACTCTGAAGTTTGTTAAACACTGAAGTTTGTTAAACTCTGAAGTTTGTTAAACAGTTTGTTAAACACTGAAGTTTGTTAAACAGTTTGTTAAACAGTTTGTTAAACAGTTTGTTAAACTCTGAAGTTTGTTAAACTCTGAAGTTTGTTAAACAGTTTGTTAAACTCTGAAGTTTGTTAAACACTGAAGTTTGTTAAACAGTTTGTTAAACAGTTTGTTAAACACTGAAGTTTGTTAAACAGTTTGTTAAACAGTTTGTTAAACAGTTTGTTAAACTCTGAAGTTTGTTAAACTCTGAAGTTTGTTAAACTCTGAAGTTTGTTAAACACTGAAGTTTGTTAAACAGTTTGTTAAACAGTTTGTTAAACTCTGAAGTTTGTTAAACACTGAAGTTTGTTAAACTCTGAAGTTTGTTAAACACTGAAGTTTGTTAAACTCTGAAGTTTGTTAAACAGTTTGTTAAACAGTTTGTTAAACAGTTTGTTAAACAGTTTGTTAAACACTGAAGTTTGTTAAACAGTTTGTTAAACAGTTTGTTAAACACTGAAGTTTGTTAAACAGTTTGTTAAACAGTTTGTTAAACTCTGAAGTTTGTTAAACACTGAAGTTTGTTAAACTCTGAAGTTTGTTAAACAGTTTGTTAAACACTGAAGTTTGTTAAACTCTGAAGTTTGTTAAACTCTGAAGTTTGTTAAACTCTGAAGTTTGTTAAACACTGAAGTTTGTTAAACTCTGAAGTTTGTTAAACTGAAGTTTGTTAAACACTGAAGTTTGTTAAACTCTGAAGTTTGTTAAACTGAAGTTTGTTAAACTCTGAAGTTTGTTAAACACTGAAGTTTGTTAAACTCTGAAGTTTGTTAAACTGAAGTTTGTTAAACAGTTTGTTAAACACTGAAGTTTGTTAAACTCTGAAGTTTGTTAAACTCTGAAGTTTGTTAAACACTGAAGTTTGTTAAACTCTGAAGTTTGTTAAACAGTTTGTTAAACAGTTTGTTAAACAGTTTGTTAAACAGTTTGTTAAACTCTGAAGTTTGTTAAACTCTGAAGTTTGTTAAACACTGAAGTTTGTTAAACTCTGAAGTTTGTTAAACACTGAAGTTTGTTAAACTCTGAAGTTTGTTAAACTCTGAAGTTTGTTAAACACTGAAGTTTGTTAAACTCTGAAGTTTGTTAAACAGTTTGTTAAACACTGAAGTTTGTTAAACTCTGAAGTTTGTTAAACACTGAAGTTTGTTAAACTCTGAAGTTTGTTAAACACTGAAGTTTGTTAAACACTGAAGTTTGTTAAACACTGAAGTTTGTTAAACTCTGAAGTTTGTTAAACACTGAAGTTTGTTAAACTCTGAAGTTTGTTAAACTCTGAAGTTTGTTAAACACTGAAGTTTGTTAAACTCTGAAGTTTGTTAAACACTGAAGTTTGTTAAACACTGAAGTTTGTTAAACACTGAAGTTTGTTAAACAGTTTGTTAAACACTGAAGTTTGTTAAACTCTGAAGTTTGTTAAACTCTGAAGTTTGTTAAACACTGAAGTTTGTTAAACAGTTTGTTAAACAGTTTGTTAAACAGTTTGTTAAACTCTGAAGTTTGTTAAACTCTGAAGTTTGTTAAACAGTTTGTTAAACTCTGAAGTTTGTTAAACACTGAAGTTTGTTAAACAGTTTGTTAAACAGTTTGTTAAACAGTTTGTTAAACTCTGAAGTTTGTTAAACAGTTTGTTAAACAGTTTGTTAAACAGTTTGTTAAACTCTGAAGTTTGTTAAACTCTGAAGTTTGTTAAACTCTGAAGTTTGTTAAACTGAAGTTTGTTAAACTGAAGTTTGTTAAACTGAAGTTTGTTAAACTCTGAAGTTTGTTAAACTGAAGTTTGTTAAACTCTGAAGTTTGTTAAACAGTTTGTTAAACACTGAAGTTTGTTAAACAGTTTGTTAAACAGTTTGTTAAACAGTTTGTTAAACTCTGAAGTTTGTTAAACTCTGAAGTTTGTTAAACTCTGAAGTTTGTTAAACTCTGAAGTTTGTTAAACTGAAGTTTGTTAAACAGTTTGTTAAACTGAAGTTTGTTAAACTCTGAAGTTTGTTAAACTGAAGTTTGTTAAACTCTGAAGTTTGTTAAACAGTTTGTTAAACTCTGAAGTTTGTTAAACAGTTTGTTAAACTCTGAAGTTTGTTAAACAGTTTGTTAAACACTGAAGTTTGTTAAACAGTTTGTTAAACAGTTTGTTAAACAGTTTGTTAAACTCTGAAGTTTGTTAAACTCTGAAGTTTGTTAAACACTGAAGTTTGTTAAACTCTGAAGTTTGTTAAACTGAAGTTTGTTAAACTGAAGTTTGTTAAACTCTGAAGTTTGTTAAACTGAAGTTTGTTAAACTGAAGTTTGTTAAACTGAAGTTTGTTAAACTCTGAAGTTTGTTAAACACTGAAGTTTGTTAAACTGAAGTTTGTTAAACAGTTTGTTAAACTCTGAAGTTTGTTAAACAGTTTGTTAAACTCTGAAGTTTGTTAAACACTGAAGTTTGTTAAACTGAAGTTTGTTAAACTCTGAAGTTTGTTAAACACTGAAGTTTGTTAAACAGTTTGTTAAACTCTGAAGTTTGTTAAACTCTGAAGTTTGTTAAACTCTGAAGTTTGTTAAACAGTTTGTTAAACAGTTTGTTAAACAGTTTGTTAAACTCTGAAGTTTGTTAAACAGTTTGTTAAACTCTGAAGTTTGTTAAACTCTGAAGTTTTAATGTAGAACAGAAACTTTAATTTACAAACATTTACGACTCTGTTCTTACACATTTACATTTAATCTTCTTATTTAAAACTAGTCATGTTTAGTTAAATCCTGGTTGTATATATTCTCATTCTTAGTGTTTATTTACTTTGTATTTAATATTAAATTGTGTTTAGATAACCTGCTGCTGTTTCCCAGTTTGGGATCAATAAAGTTATTCTATTATATTCTATATTCTATATTCTATATTCTATATTCTATATTCTGTTCTGGACCCCACCAAGACCTCTTCAGACCTCAGACTCACCTGGACTAGTCTCTGTTCATTACTTTAAACCAGGTTTGGGGGGACCAGTCAGGACCACAACAAACAAGACTTCAAGTGAGACTCTTACCAACATCTCGTGGATCAGGTGAGTCCTCCATCCTCACCTGAGACTCAGGTGAGTCCTCCATCCTCACCTGAGACTCAGGACTTAGCTGTTAGCCGGCTAGTTGGCTAACAGAGAACTTCCTGTGAGCTAACAGTTCTGCGGGTTTCCGTTAGTTCAGTTTAATTCCTTCATCAGATAAATGTTTGAGCTCATGACTTCCGGTTTCAGCTCTTTGTTTTTTCTTTAACTAACGTGGAAAAATCTGAACAAGGAACAAAACAATCTGCCGCCATTCACAGTCACACTACACATGCGCGTTGTGTTTCAGTTTTTATCCACAAAGGCCACCGTAGCTGCGGGAGAACTCCTGCCCTGACTTCAGTCTCCCAGGCAGGACGTCTTCTTCTCGAAGAGGCGGGACTGTTTACAAAAATAATGATTTATATCTTTTAACAAGGTTGTAATGAGTCTCATAAATTTACGATTTTTTAAATCTCAAACATTTGATGAGTTTTTTCTCTGAAATGTACGAGTCCTTTCTTTTTCTTTTTTTTTTAAAGAATGGCGCCTCGTACGTTTTTTTTAATCTTTAAGATTGTTCAATAATTACAAATCCACAAACACTTCTCTATTCTAAAGGAAACAGCAGCTTGTGTCTCAGTTTGCTTCCCGCTGTCTACCTGGGAGTCCTTACTCAGGGCAAAGCATACACGACCAAACACCTTCGCTTTTCTGTTTTTAAATTGGCCACAGGGGACCGCCGTACTCGTACCCGGTTACTAAACTGTAAACAAACCAGTATGACAACCTGCTAACACCGCGTTACATTCATAATAATACATTATAAACTGTTTCCTTAAACAGGAAGAAACCGGAATCAAACATGGAACACGCGCGCACCGTCACCGTTTATGACGTCAGCGCAGAGCCAAGTAATGTACCGGTGTTAGCATGCAGGTGCTAACGTTAGCCACTTCCGGTGTAGTTTTGTAACGCTGTAGTCATAAAATTATACAAGTTTCACTGAGCTGCTGCAGCACGCGCGGATTCACGAGAGGTGAGGACAATTAATTAAACTTAAAACTTAAAACACTTAAAATGTTTTTATCGTTTTAACTCTTTGTGTCAACACCTGGTGCTATAAACACCTGGTTTATAAACACCTGGTTTATAAACACCTGGTTTTATAAACACCTGGTTTATAAACACCTGGTTTATAAACACCTGGTTTAATAAACACCTGGTGTTATAAACACCTGGTTTATAAACACCTGGTTTATAAACACCTGGTTTTATAAACACCTGGTGTTATAAACACCTGGTTTATAAACACCTGGTTTTATAAACACCTGGTTTATAAACACCTGGTTTATAAACACCTGGTTTATAAACACCTGGTTTTATAAACACCTGGTTTATAAACACCTGGTTTATAAACACCTGGTTTATAAACACCTGGTTTATAAACACCTGGTTTATAAACACCTGGTTTTATAAACACCTGGTGCTATAAACACCTGGTTTATAAACACCTGGTGCTATAAACACCTGGTTTATAAACACCTGGTTTTATAAACACCTGGTGTTATAAACACCTGGTTTATAAACACCTGGTTTTATAAACACCTGGTTTTATGAACACCTGGTTTATAAACACCTGGTTTTATAAACACCTGGTTTTATAAACACCTGGTTTATAAACACCTGGTTTTATAAACACCTGGTGCTATAAACACCTGGTTTATAAACACCTGGTGCTATAAACACCTGGTTTATAAACACCTGGTTTTATAAACACCTGGTGTTATAAACACCTGGTTTATAAACACCTGGTGCTATAAACACCTGGTTTATAAACACCTGGTTTTATAAACACCTGGTGTTATAAACACCTGGTGCTATAAACACCTGGTTTTATAAACACCTGGTTTATAAACACCTGGTTTTATAAACACCTGGTGTTATAAACACCTGGTTTATGAACACCTGGTTAATAAACACCTGGTTTTATAAACACCTGGTTTATAAACACCTGGTTTATAAACACCTGGTTTTATAAACACCTGGTTTATAAACACCTGGTGCTATAAACACCTGGTTTATGAACACCTGGTTTATAAACACCTGGTTTTATAAACACCTGGTTTATAAACACCTGGTTTATAAACACCTGGTTTTATAAACACCTGGTTTATAAACACCTGGTTTATAAACACCTGGTTTATAAACACCTGGTTTTATAAACACCTGGTTTATAAACACCTGGTTTATAAACACCTGGTTTATAAACACCTGGTTTTATAAACACCTGGTGCTATAAACACCTGGTTTATAAACACCTGGTGCTATAAACACCTGGTTTATAAACACCTGGTTTTATAAACACCTGGTGTTATAAACACCTGGTTTATAAACACCTGGTTTTATAAACACCTGGTTTTATGAACACCTGGTTTATAAACACCTGGTTTTATAAACACCTGGTTTTATAAACACCTGGTTTATAAACACCTGGTTTTATAAACACCTGGTGCTATAAACACCTGGTTTATAAACACCTGGTGCTATAAACACCTGGTTTATAAACACCTGGTTTTATAAACACCTGGTGTTATAAACACCTGGTTTATAAACACCTGGTGCTATAAACACCTGGTTTATAAACACCTGGTTTTATAAACACCTGGTGTTATAAACACCTGGTGCTATAAACACCTGGTGCTATAAACACCTGGTTTATAAACACCTGGTTTTATAAACACCTGGTGCTATAAACACCTGGTGTTGTAAACACTCACCTGGGAGAGAGGAGAGGAGAGGAGAGGAGACAGGAGAGGAGACATGAGAGGAGACAGGAGGAGAGGAGAGGAGAGGAGACAGGAGAGGAGACAGGAGAGGAGAGGAGAGGAGAGGAGAGGAGACAGGAGAGGAGACAGGAGAGGAGACAGGAGAGGAGACAGGAGGAGAGGAGAGGAGAGGAGACAGGAGAGGAGACAGGAGAGGAGACAGGAGAGGAGACAGGAGGAGAGGAGAGGAGAGGAGACAGGAGAGGAGACAGGAGAGGAGAGGAGAGGAGAGGAGACAGGAGAGGAGACAGGAGAGGAGAGGAGACAGGAGAGGAGACAGGAGAGGAGAGGAGACAGGAGAGGAGACAGGAGACAGGAGAGGAGACAGGAGAGGAGAGGAGAGGAGAGAGGAGACAGGAGAGGAGACAGGATGTCTGATCATAAAGTTAAAGTTTGTTTTCTGGTCACTTTGGTTATAATTTATTTAGTCATTTAAATATTCAGTCATGTGATCAACATGGCTCTTCCCCCTCAGGTGAGATGTCTCAGGTAAGGCGGTCGGTGACGGAGGCGATGTGGGCGATGTGTGCGGCTGACTCCATGTCGATGCCGGTCCACTGGTACTACGACATCGAGGACATCAGGAGGGACTTTGGGGGATGGATCTCAGGCTTCAACGCTCCAACAAGCAGACACCCGTCCAGCATCCTGAGCCTGTCCAACACAGGTGAGTCTGTCCAACACAGGTGAGTCTGTCCAACACAGGTGAGTCTGTCCAACACAGGTGAGTCTGTCCAACACAGGTGAGCCTGTCCAACACAGGTGAGCCTGTGTTGGACAGGCTCACCTGTCCAACACAGGTGAGTCTGTCCAACACAGGTGAGCCTGTCCAACACAGGTGAGTCTGTGTTGGACAGGTGAGTCCAGGAGAGTCCAGGAGAGTCCAGGAGAGTCCAGGTGAGTCCTGGGTTAGTCTGAACTTGTTTTCTGATCTTCCAGCCGGTAGCGGTCGCTCCGCCTGGTCCTCCTCTGGCGCCAAACGACCAGACGTGGTGGGAAACGTGATCCTCCACGATAAACTGAACCTGTGGAAGTCTTCCAACGGCACGGTGCACTACCACCAAGGTCCTGACCTCTGACCCTGACCTCTGACCCTGACCTCTGACCTCTGACCTCTGACCCTGACTTCAGGAACATGGTTTCAGTTTCCTGTGTTTCTGTTCTTCAGGTCTTCAGTCCGGTGCTAACACCCTGAACGTGCTCTGTTCTCTGCGAGTGATGCGTTCACTGGTCTCAGGACGTTTCAGTGACGTCTCGAAGCCGGATGCTCGGGCCGCCGTGCTCTCAGACTACGTTCAGTTCCTGACCACACCCGGCTCGCACGACGACACCTACGCCGAGTCCTTCCACCGCTCGTTCTTCTCCGACTGGCAGGACAGCAGGCCAACGTCTCCCCAAGAGGTCAGTGACACGCCCCCTGCAGGTCAAACGCCCCCTGCAGGTCAAACGCCCCCTGCTGGTCAAATGCCATCCTGCTGGTCAAACGCCCCTGCTGGTCAAACGCCCCCTGCAGGTCAAACGCCCCCTGCAGGTCAAATGCCATCCTGCTGGTCAAATGCCATTCTGCTGGTCAAACGCCCCCTGCAGGTCAAATGCCATCCTGCTGGTCAAATGCCATTCTGCTGGTCAAACGCCCCCTGCAGGTCAAACGCCCCCTGCAGGTCAAATGCCATCCTGCTGGTCAAACGCCCCCTGCAGGTCAAACGCCCCCTGC